GTGTGTGTGTGTGTGTGTGTGTGTGTGTGTGTGTATTGTTTTGGTTTTGGTACTGGGGATCAAATTTAGGACTTTGAGCTTGCCAGGCAGGCTCAGCACCACTGAGCTACATTGCTGGCCCTCTATTTTGAGTTTTGAGGCTGGGAAAGTCTTGATAGTCTAAATATTTTACATCCACTGTCAGAAAAGTGTTCTAAGGCCCTAGAATAAAGTTTTAGGCCCGTCCTTCGTTGAAAAGTCAAATCCACAGCAAGCTCTTCCTTCAGTAAATTAATACAAATGACTGTTTTATACATCGAGTCACTTTTGATGAATGGAATATTTTATAGCTTGTAAATCAAACTTTTAATCAAGAAAGTAAGTTTTTAATTAATCCTCGAAAGCACCTTATCCTAAAAGGCTCTCTGGCATTGAATGCAGCATGTGGCTGTGTCCCTTGGGGCGTTTCAGGGGCCTCTAATGAGAAGCTTGCTCCCTAATGGAGTGACTGCCCCCAGTGTTTCAGGGCAGTGTCCTTGCTGTTCTCAATTTGGTGATCATATCTGATGATTTATGAGCTAGAAAAGGGAATGGCGTCATCATAGAGGGAAACAAAAAGAGTCATAATTTTCAGTCTTTCTCCAGCCTTGCAGGAAATTAGAAATGAGGGTTAAGCCGGGCACGGTGGCGCACACCTATCATCCCAGCACTTGGGAGGCTGAGGCAGGAGAACGGTTCAAGCTCAGGAGCTTAAGCCCAGCCTGGCAATGTAATGAGACCCTGTCTCAATCAATCAATAAAAATAAAATAACTGGGCATCGTGGCACACACCTGTAACCCCAGTGTGCAGGAGGCTGAGGCAGGGGGATCGCCACAAGTTCAAGGCCAATCTGAACTACATAGAAAGAATTTTTTTAGCAGGAGAAAGGTATGCTGTTGGAATAGATGTTTGGGAGTTTAATCACATTGGATACCTAGGTCATTTCTCTCTCTCTTTTTTTTTTTTTTGGTTTGTCTCACTATGTCGTTGAGACTGACCTGAATTAACTGTGTAGCCCGGGCTGGTCTTGAACTCACAGCGATCCTCCTGCCTCAGCCTCTCTCGAGTGCTGGGATTGCAGGCGTGCGCCACCACACCAGCAACCTAGGTCATTTCTTAAATCATACTATTAGCTGTTGCAGTGAACATGGCTGAACTTTTGCATTATTCCTTAGCACGCATTTCTGAAGTTAAAACTTGACTGGGAGCGCAGACACAGGTTAGGGCTTGTGCTCCGTGAGGCCACACGTGTGGTACTTGGAGGAGTTGAGCTGCTGCACCTCTGCCCGCAGTGCACTTTGTGCCCATTTCTTCCCTACCCGCCTGGACGCTACAGTGTCCTTGTTGGAAGGTAAACTTGTGTTCCCGGCACTGGGCACCCCAAGCTGGCCTCCAGAGCCAGCCTCTTCTCAGATGACCCTGGACAGAGCCCGTGGCATTGACCTTGTCCCAATTCTGAGTTGCAGGACCTGCCCGGAGCCCCACCACTGCTCAGACTGATGACCCTGCCAGGTCTGCTCCGCGGGAGGACGCTGTGAGCAGGGGGAAGCCCAGACCCTTATCCTCGGCAAGAGGGGGCCGTAGGAGGAGGCTCTCCATGGTGCTGTCAGGCCTGACTACCAAGCAGTCAGTGAGTGTGGTGCATGGCTCTGCCCCCTCATTTCATTTCCGGTCCTAGCTGCTGAAAATTCGCATCCAAATAAGGCGTGAGAATGAGGTTTAGTGTATATGCTTGGGATGAATATTAGCAGAAGAGGTAACTTTGGCATAGGCATAAAGCTTTTGAGTTATAATTAGAATCTTCTTTTTCTCTACTGATAAAACCAAAGCTGGGTTCCTCCTCCTCAGTTCCCAATGGAGTGTCTGCTTCCGGACGCGCTGCCAGACAGTACTCTCCTCAGTGTGTTGGGCTTCACCCTGGCTTCGAGACAGCTGCGGGATAGCCAGCCCTGTCGCTGCCGCCCGTGGCATCCCTTGGCATCTCCTCGGGCCTTTGTGCCAGGAATGGGAATTGTTTGGCAGGGTGGAGGATGCCGTGTTCAATCCACGGAGGCCCTCTTTCTCCTGAGGGTGCTTACACACTCCCTGCGTCCGCCGGTTCTCCGGGCCTCGTCTAGCTGCGGATGTCACCTTGTAATGAAGTGATGGGGCCTGTTTCTTCAAAGCATGGTGGCGCACCAGACTGGGAGCTGACCCGTGAGCGGGGTTACTTGTCACACCTGAGGGCCGTAGCTGTTCTGGAGCACATCTCCTGGCTGAGGCCGGCTTCTCAGCCCGGCCTCATGTGGGCAGTGACTCAGCGTCACCTTCTCTGTGGCCTGGCCAGGAAGATCGCAGGGAGGCCATGGCTGCTGTCCTCACCCCACAGCCTGGGCCTGGGCCGCCACCTGCCTCACAGCTGGGTTTCCTGGAGAAGCATTGAACATTGGTTTTCCTTCCTGCTGGGTTTGTGAGCTTGGTTTTTCAGAGGTGGCCGAGGTGGCCTCCTTTTTCCTCCCTTGGGCCATTCTGAGCTGCAGGTTAGACTGCAAGCGGCTTGGCTGCATGTGGTCTTTTATTGATTTATTTGTTTGTTTGTTTATTTATTTATTTAGGGGGGTACCAAATATCGAACTTGGGTCCTTGTGCTTATGAAGCAGTCGGAGGAAGCACTGAGCTAAATCCCCTGCCCTGCGTGTGGTCTTTAACCCGAGAGGAAGACTGGGCTCTATTCAGGGCTACTGAAGTGTGTAAATTTATGATGAAAGTGATGGACTATGTTACACATGATTAATTCTGATGCCCTCACTAAGATGATCTTTTCAGCAGTTGCTTTTCTAACTGCAGTTTCCAGCCTGAGATTTCAGCAGTGAGTCAGCTTGGAATTGCCAATGATCTGGCCCAGGGAGGCAAGGGGGCATCCTCAGCTTCTCCCCGCTGCTGTTCTGGGGCCCCACATCTGACCTGTGGTGCGGTACTGGTGTCACGAAACCCAGACCACCGGTGAGGTATCGTGGTGGAAACCAGGGCCCCAGAAACAGAGTTCCCACCAAACAGGAGCTAGTAGCTGTATGGCCCTGCTCAGAACAGACCTGGTCCGTTTCTTCTGTCACCTATGGGTTTTTATATTCAGCTGATGGATAATAGCTAGAGAGCTCAAGATTTCGCTGGGAGCGGACATCTGTGCAGCCCTTCTTCTGGAGGCAGAGTGGATAGTTTGGGAGCCGGGCGTGGTGGCTGTGATCTCAGCACTCAGGAAGCTGAGGCAGGAGGATCACTTGTGAGTTCGAGGCCAGCCTGAATTGCATAATGAGACCCTATCTCAAAAAAAAAAAAGTTGGGCACTGACTTTATTTATTTTTGGTACTGGGGATCTAACTCAGTTCCTCATGCTTCTGAGGCAGGCGGTGGAATGCACCACTCACCTGAATCCCCAGCCCTGGGCACTGACTTCAGAAGCATCTTCACTTGAATGTTACACAGCTGAGACTTGCATCTTGGTTTTTAAGGCACATGACTTTTTTTTCCCCTTTTAGCATTAACTTTCTGTACAGACAAGGTAGCTCTCAGCTCTTGAGTGTAGGCTGAAAGCCTAAGTTATAGTAGAGCGTGGCTGCAAAGAAACCGTCTTCGGGAATGAAGTGATATCTGCTATTAAAGACAAAAGGAGTATTTTGAATATTTAGGTGTCCTCCTTGGATTCGTTCAGCACTTCCTGGGACCTTGCGCTTGCGAGGCAGGTGTGGGCACCACTGAGGTAAATCCCCGGCCCTCGTTCAGCGCTTTTGTTAGGTTATTCATTTTGAGACTTTAAGCAAGTCTTAATAAAAATGATGTACCTTATCTGCAAAACATAGAGCCCCGAAGTTAGGACAAGTCATGCTCTTAGCCAGTGATGGTGAACCTTTCAGAGCTTTCAGTGACAACAAACAGCCCGCTCTGGCTCACGTGCCACAGGTTCGCCACCACTGCTCTAAGCTGTTGCTTATTATAATGCAATATCGGATGTGATTTCAGGTGCTCGTGCAGAAGTTTGCCAAAAAACACCACATTGGGTTGACCCATCTGATGACAGAGGAGACCACCCACGTGGTCATGAAGACAGGTAAACCAAGAGCTTCCTGGACGGGTCGGGGCCAGTGGCAGCCACTCTGGGGACTCCTGTGATTCTGCTCACAGCATGGTGGGCTTGAGCCTGGGGTATAGCCCCCCAACTCCGCCTCCACGGCATGTAAGTTGGACCACAGGGTCAGAGGGTGATACTCCTGCAACCAGTGCCAGAGCAAGGGACCGCAAACTGATTACCACGGAGAAAATGTCCTTGAATTCAAGTATATTTTAAGTTATAGGTTTGAATCAAAGCTGATGAAAGGTGAAAAGAAAGCTTGAAAATGCAAATTAAACTCTAAAGGCAGTACGACATTCACTACTTCTGAACTGCAAATGAGCTGAAATTTCTAAGTTTGAAGCATATTATTAAGTTGGCTTTTGTAGTGTTTAAACAGAAAGCTTCGTATGTTTTGGTGGGTTGGTGATGAGAGTCTCCGCCTCTGTTGAGGGTTTAGTTAAGCACATTCTCCTCTTGAAGACCAAATGGTCTGTTCTGTGTTTGGGTCTTCAGAGGGCCTCTGAAACACGAGAGAATTAGCAGAAGGGACTCTGCAGCTGGGCTCTGATGCAGCCGCGTGTGGGAAAGAGAGGGAAATAGTGCATCTTCAAGGATGGGCAGGAGCAGGAGTTCTGTGGGTGGAAGTTGGTCAGGTCATCGGGTCAGGGTTTGGGGTCTTCTTCAGCAGGCTGAGCCTCCTCAGCAGCGTGGGCTGTGGCATGGGCCGTCCCCTTGAACGCGACACCGGCTTCTTAGCTGCCTGTGGCCTCATCACCTTGGCTCCGGCCCCTCTGGGCATCCGGAGAGCCGCAGTGCGGCTCTATGTCGGTAGCTCCAGCCTCTGCCTCCGACAGCGGGGCTGGGCGTCATCCGGCCACGTGGGTGCTGGAAGAAAGGCTGTGACACTGCATTCAGCCTCCTTGAGCATCGCTTTCCAATTTTGTTTTCTTCTAATCTGTTCGTGTATTTTTCACTCCACAGATGCTGAGTTCGTATGCGAACGGACACTGAAATATTTCCTGGGAATTGCAGGAGGAAAATGGGTGGTTAGCTATTTCTGTAAGTGCAGTACGCTTTCTCCCCTCCTCTCCAACACCTCAGAATTGCATTTTTACACCTAACAGTTTAACACCTCGGGCTTCTGCTGATGCTGAGTCTCAGTTACCCAGAGGTCTTTAGTGGTGACATAGAATTGGCTTTATCTTTAATGCATATCACATTGTTCACAGAAGCTGATGTTGAGAAGGTGGATTACTTTCATAACTAACTGCCTCATGCGCCCTAGCAGCGTTAGTGTGGGGATGGGGACTTACGATCGCAGGCAGAGCCATGGGCAGCAGAGAGCGAGGACCCTGGGTCTCCGGGAGGAAGTGGCCACTGCCTCGGTGCAGAGCTCGGCTTCCAGGTGGCGAGCGCCCTGCCCTGCCCTGCCCTGCCCTGCCCTCTGGTGCACATCCCCTTGCTCTTGGTGACTGGCTCTTCTGTGGTCTCTCTAGGGGTGACCCAGTCGATGAAGGAGAGGAGGATGCTGGATGAGGTGGGTACTGGGTGTGACAAACTAAGCAGACACTTGGCACCTTGCACCAACGTCACACGTGGCCGGCCTGCTCCCTTCCATGAGTTCCCCTCGACATTGGGCTACTCGAGAGCCACCAGGTGCCACATCCTCTTCGTTGTGGGTTCCCAAGTAACACTCCGGGGCGGGGGCTGTTCATAAAACAAAGATTCATAGGGACAACAGACAAGACCCCATCTCAGGTGTGCGGAAAAGCTGGAGGCAAGGGGCTCTTCACCCTTGACACAAAGACCAAGTCACTATGCAGATGTCTCTGTTAAGAGACCAGATTCCTTCGTGGTACTGAGATAAGGGAGAGATAAACAAGATAAAGTGTGGGCGGAGGATAATTTTAGAACGGCTGAGCGGCTGATGACACTAGATCAGGCCAAACAAAAGTAGGGAAAGCAGTTTTGAACTGTGACATACTATTAGTGTTTTGTAATTTATCAAATGCCCTTTTCAGCTTAAATTTGATGAAGTGGCCATTTGTTGAGAGACTGCTATGTGCCAGTCCTAGGAAAGCCACTGAGCAACTGCGTGCTGGAGCCAGTGTGGCAGGGGTGCCACGGAGATGTGCGCACGGTACTGACAAGAGCTCTGCAGAGCAGGGGGCTTGTGGGCCACGGACAGGCGGGGTTGCTTCAGTTGGGGGTTAGGGAGGGTGGTTCTGAAAGGTTGAGCTGAGTCTTAAATGACAAAAAATAATTTCCTTAACAATGTAAAGAACAAGACAGTGTGACAGCACACACCCATAATCCCAGCACTGTGGGAGGCTGAGGCAGGAGGATCACAAGCTAGCCCAGTCAATTTAGTGACTCTTGGAGAGCATCTCAAAAAAAAAAAAGAAAGGATTGAGGATGCAGCTATTGGAACACGCTGAGTTTAGCCCCAGGTAGGAGTTAGGGAACAACTCAGAACAAAAGACATAAGGTCTCAGGTGGGAGTGAGTTTGGCTATTAAAGAAATCAGACCAGTGCCGCTGTGGAGCAGTAATTGGTGAGTTATGTGCAGGGGGCAGCAGTCAGACCAGGGCAGGAGAAGATCCCAGATAAGGAAGATTTGTTGGAAGCTCAACAAGGAGCTTGGATTTATTCCTCCGGTCACAGCGGGCAAGTGGTGGTCAGAAAAGCTTGCCAGGACCTGTGCATAGGCGGACTTCAGCCGGCGTTCCCCGGACTGGGCCTGTGCCTGTGCCTGCACAGTGCAGGAGTATGGACCAGGTGTGCAGGCTGAGCGAGGGGCAGCTTGGGACTGGAAGGCCAGAAGCAGGGCAGGCAAGTGACGTACAGCAGCTGGCGGGTGACCAGAGTCATCTCGTGCAGGTGGTAGATCTGTCGCTGGACTCTCCCCTTCCGTGAGACTGGGAAAGGTCAGGTGTCCTGTCCCTCGGTCACGGCTGATGGTTATGGTCTTGACGTTTCCAGTCAGACGTATCTGAGCTTGCTTCCCTAATTTCTCCCTAAAAGTTTTAACTCCCCAACCCCGTTCTTCATCTTGTCTTTCTTCGCCAGTCCATACGGTGATGATGCAAAGCCTGTTCTGTGTAGTAACCGCATCTTTTCTCAAACTGTCTCGTGGCAGTCTGAAAACCCCTGCTTCCCTCAGCTGCTGCTGTGCGGTTACTGGGACCCGGGCACCTCCAGGGACGTGTGCAGCAGCGCAGCACGAGCAGCCCCACCTGAGTGGGGCGGAGACGGGTGGGATTCAGCCGTGTGGGCCCCGTCGCCGGTCCTGCTCCTTCTCCCAGGCCTCTGAAAGAAAGGACCCGTCGTGGTTACTTCCTTCCTTGTTCTTGGTCACATCCACCGCTGCTGCGGGGGCTTCTCTCACCTGATCAGGGTTTTGGCCTGATTTCTTTCAGCGTGATTTTGAAGTCAGAGGAGATGTGGTCAATGGAAGAAACCACCAAAGTCCGAAGCGCGCGAGGGAATCCCGGGACCAGAAGGTGAGCAGTGTCCTTTCCAGCGACAGGACTCGGGCTTAGCATGGCTGGTGACCCGGGTTCCAGTGTGAGATTTAGACCCAGGTATGCATCTGTCGGCCCGGCTCTGCAGCTCACCGTGTCTCTCGAAAGCAGCGTAATGAGAGTACACAGCTGTGGAGCAGCAGAGAGCAGGAGATCATGCGGCATCAGCCTTCATCCAGGCCCGGGCGCACCTGTGATGCCGCTCCTCAAGAGGCTGAGGCAGGAGGCTCAAACAGGGGGCCAATTTAGGTAAATTAACAAGATCTGGTTTCAAAATAAGATACAAAGGACTAAGGATGTGAGCCAGTGGTAGAGCTAGTGGTTGCAGTTCAAACCCAGTGCCAAAAATTAAAATCAACCATAGCTTTGTTTTGTTTTGTTTTGAGACAGAGTCTCACTATGTAGTTGAGACTGACCTGGAGCTCACTATGTAGCCCAGGCTGATCTTGAACTCACAGCGATCCTCCTGCCTCAGCCTCCCAAGTGCTGAGATTACAAATGTTCGCCACCTTGCCTGACAATAGCTAAGATTTACATAATATATACTACATGCCCATGAGTGCTCTAAATGATCAACGTTTTAACCACTTTACAACTCCATGAAGTGTTAATATTATATAGCTCAGTCTGGCCTTGATCTGCAGCCCTCCTGCCTCAGCCTCCCAAGTTCTGGGACACAGGAAGGTACCACCATGCCTGCATCATTGTTCCCCCTTGTAAGATTGAGGCCCAGAGAGGGTGAGTGTGATGCCCAGGGTCACACAGTGAGCGAGTAATGGAACTAGGAGTCGAGCCCAGGCGGTTCGCTCCGGGTTGAAAGTCTCAACCGTACTGGGTTTCTGAGAACGGTCACCAAGGCATCGTAGGGACACCAGTGGGTTTCCTACAACTATGCGAGCGAGCCCCGGGGAGCCTCCACAGCCTTTCTCAGTGATGTGACCAGAACAGCATCTTTCTCGTGAGAAACCCATGTGACGCCCAAAACCTGCTGTGCGATCTCCGCCTGCGGCAGGCTGGAGTTCCTGGTTGTCTGCGTTCCTCCTTTTTCAGGTGTTCGGTGGGCGTTTCCACATGCCCTCTGCAGAGCACCTCCTGACCTAGCAGAGGTGACTTCCAAGGAAACTGCTTTGGTTTATTTATTTTGGGATTTTGACTTTTGGTTGGTTTGGTTTGGTTTTTTGAGGTCTTGCTGTGCAGTCCAGGCTGGCCTTGAGCTCACTGCACCCAGGCTGGCCTCAAACTCTTGGCGATCCTCCTGCTTCAGCCTCCCAGGTGCTGGGATTACAGCTGCGCAGCACCACATCCGGTCAGGAAAACTGCTTTGGAAGGTGATCTCACATTGAGCCTGGAGATCTGAACCTTGGGTCAGCCTTTCCCCTCCGAGCCTGTCAAGTAACCGAGTCACGAGAAGTGTTCGTCCTCCTCTGCTCCCCCTTTGCCCAGCGAGCTCTATGGGAGCAGCGTCTGGGTTCACCAGGAGTCAGGCCTGTCAGCGCGCTGGGACAGGATGAGACCGGCTCACCCTGCCAGCTTTGCTCTGTCCTCTGGCTTTTGGGGTCTGCAGGGCTTCCACTTCCTGTAAGGCCACCTGTGTGCCACAGTCCCTTGGCGGCAGGTCAGTCCTCGCCATAGGCGCTCTTGTGTTAGTGGAGTGGGGAGGCGGTGAGGCCCTGGAGAGTTGCCCAGAGTCACTCGGAAAGTCTGTCCATCCGGGCTCGGTGCCACATGCTTGTAGTCCCAGCTACTCAGAAGCTGAGCCCAAAAGTTGGTAACCCATGGGCCAGGGATTTGGCTCAGTGGTGCCGATGCCTGCCTTGCAAGCACAAGGGACCGAGTTTAATCCCCAGTACAAAAAATAAAATTAAAAGAAAAAAAAGGTGGCGACCAGCCTGGGCAGCATCGTGAGACTCCTGACTTAAAGAAAAACACCCATCCCTTCTGGGATTCCCGGGGTCGCACACTGGCAGTCGCTGTTCTCCCGCCCTGGCGCCCTCAGTGGCCCGAGTCCTGAGGCCTGGTACAGACATCCGCGTGAGTCTACACCCAGCCCAGGTGCCACCAGTCACACAGTTCAGCTTCAGAGTCAAGCAGGAAGCCCATGTTTCTGGTGCCCTCAGCTTGCCTGGGCAGATCCAGGGCCTCTCTGGCATTGGAAGGTTCCCGGGCACTCGAGGTGCCCCAGGCCTGCGTCTCCAGGAGCCACACTCAGGTTTCAGACTCAGCTTAGGCCCCTTCCGTCCGATAGCGGCTGCTTCCGCCAGTGGCCTTGGCTTTCCTGATCTCTCAGGAAGCAGAAGGGCCAGGACTTTTCCTCTTGCTCCTGACAAGATGTGACAATCGCCTGTAAATCAGTGAGGAGAGTCCTGGACCAGCTGGGGCACCCCCGAGTGATGGAAGCCACTGTGCGTGTCACATGTGGGCGCACTCAGAAGCCCGTGAGCCATCACCATCCTGGACGCCGGCTGAGGTGTGGGAAGAAATGGTCTTCTCTGAGCCCCCGCTCATAACTACTGCTCTCCGTCCCCTGTCCCACCCCCTCCCTGCAGATCTTCGGAGGCCTGGACGTCTGTTGCTGCGGGCCCTTCACCAACATGCCCACAGGTACAGGCTCGGGCGGGGCGGTGCCAAGGCTTGTTCGGTTCCCACGCTCCAGAGGAGGTGGCGCCAAAGTGTCATCCTCCAGGCCTTGTGACCTGCTCTAAGCAGGGCAGCAAGCCTGGCAGGTGACATGGCCCCGAGGCTGAAACAGGAGGGTCACAAGTAAACAGGAGGCAGTGGAGAGTAGGGTTGAGTCAGCTCCAGTTAGCGCCATCGGACTAAGGAGTGGGCCGGAGGACAAGCTGGGGAAAAGACCTGCAGGTTTCTCAGTGTCAGAGAAGAGCTGTGGCTCCCGTGTCCTCCATTGTGTGAGGCGAGTGCAGCTGCTGGGCTCTGTCTGTGGGTTGGGGCACCGGGGCTGGAGTGGGGGAGGCTCCCAGCAGGAACCTAATTCAGCCTGACAGCAGTGGCATGCATTACCGTGAGAGCTGCAGGGGCTCAGCCTGGGGTCAGGTCCCGAGTACCCTGTGTGCAGAGATTCACCTCTGTCTGTGCCCCACCTCCACTGAGACCTCGGGCCCTGGCCCCAGGGAGCCAGGCAGCTGTGTGTGTGTAAATGGGTGACAGCAAGAGGCCTGGCTGCAGAACTCTGCTCCCTCCCTAACTGGTGACCAGTTGGAATTTCATGAAGTTTCCAAGTGCCACTCGAGGGTGTCTCTGTTTCTGTGCTTCGGTGTAGGGAAAAACCAGGGTCTCTCATAGGCCTCCTTTTGGAGGTGTGAGTGAGTGAACCTCATTTTGGTCAGCTAGGAGGCGGGCTTGATGGTGCACACCTGTCATCCCAGCCCCCGGGAGGCTGAGGCAGGAGGATCACTGTTAGTTCAGTGTCAGCCTGAATTATACAGCGAGACCCCAGCTCAAAAAGAAAAAAGAGGGCTGGGAGTTTAGCTCAGTGGTGCTTCCACTTGCTTTGCAAGCACAAGGTCCCGAGTTCAATCCCCAGTACCCAAAAAAAAAACAAAACAAGAAGAAAAAAAGGCACGGCTGGGGATTTAGCTCAGTGGCCCTGCCTCACAGGGTCCTGAGTTTGATCCTTAAGACCAAAAAAAAAAAAAGAGTGGGAAGCCCTTCAGCAACCCCAAATCAAGCCAGTGTGCTGATTCTTTAGGTGCAAACAGGACACTTCTCTCCTTTCCCCCTTCCTTTCCTGTCCCCCCGCCCCCTCGCCCTCCTCCTCCCTCCTGGGTTTGAACCTAGGACTTTCACACTGAGCTCCATCCCCACCTCTTTTTGAGACTTGCTAATTTGCTGAGTTCAAACTTGTGATCCTCCTGCCTCAGCCTCTCAGTCACAAGGACTTAAGGTGGGCACCACTATGGCAGACCTGCAGGCCCCCTGATTTTCTTCCTCTGCGGGTGTGGGCCCAGCGCAGGCTGTGCCCTTTGCCCACTGCTGCGCCAGGGTCCTGACCAGGGCAATATGTGTTTCTCTCCACGGTGGAACCCCCTCCATCTCCTGGTGTTCGCTTTGCAGTGCGGGCCGAGGTTCCCATCACCCTGCAGGGTTTGAAAGACTGGGAAACTTGGCTACCCAGCAGCCCCGTGGGCACTGACAGCCCTGAGTGTGGCACAGAAGTGGCCATGACTGAGGCCTCCGGGCCCCGGGTGACGATGGCTGGTTGTCGCCCTGCAGATCAGCTCGAGTGGATGCTGCGGCTGTGCGGGGCCTCCGTGGTCAGGGAGCTCTCGGCGCTGCCCGTCGGTGCTGTAAGTGAGGGGGGTGGGGGCACGGGGACCCCTGAGAGCAGCGGGCAGGGCCTCCCTGCTGCCAAAGTCCTGCTCTGACACTGCGATGCCCTCTCCTCCCGGACTGCAGGGAGCTCAGCCGGTCGTGGTCATGCAGCCGGAGGCCTGGACAGAGGACGCGGGCTTCCTTGGTAAGGTGCCTTCGTCTCCTGGGGCGCCGGGTCTTGGGGGGGCGTCTAAGTGAGCAGGTGAGGACCTTGCAACATACTTTACTGCTTGGTACCATAAGGGTAATAGGATGAGTCCCCACCTGGCAACATTGGCATCATCAGTGTCTACAGGTGTGCAGTGTTGGGTATGAATGAATTGACTTACGTACAACAGTTCTGGAAGGGACTCATAGTAAGTCAGGGATTACTGAACATAACCTTTTTGCATGGGAGCGTAGTTTGGATTTTGGTCCACCTACCTGCCTTGGCGTTTTGAAACAGGGTCTTGCTGTGTAGTTCAGGCTGGCCTTGTACTCCCTACTGTATCCTAGACCGGCCTCAAAGAGTAGCAATCCTCTTGCCTCAGCCTCCCAAGGGCTGGGATTACAGGTGTGCACCACCATGCCTGGCTAGTTTTGGTTTTTGGTCTAAGACGGTGTCTCATCACTTTGCCTACGCTGGCCTCAAACTCCTGAGTCCAGGAGATCCTCCTGCTTCAGCCTCCTCAAAAGCTGAGGCTACAGGTGTACAGCAGTCCAGTTGTGAATGTGTGTGGGGAGTGTTAAATATGAGTGTTCCTCACAGGAAATAAAACATCTCAGTAGGCCGGGCATATGACTCGTTCCTGTAATCTCAGCCATTCAGGAGGCTGAGGTAGGGAGATTTTGAGTTCAAGGCTGGCCTGGGCAACACAAGACCCCAAAGCAAAAAATAATAATCACAACAACCCTGCGGTGTGCAGGTGGTCACTGCCAAATTCCGCAAGTGTGTGCTTTATACATGGGGCCACATGCAGCAAGCATGCTGTTTCCCTGTGGTTGCCTTGCGGACCCATGGCACCCCCATCACCTGAGCGGAAGCCGTGTTTTCCAGCTACCCGCGGCTGGGCTCTCCCAGGCGTTGCCTCAGCTTCCTGGGGCAGCACTAGGGTCCCTGCAGCCAGGTCCCAAAGTGGGGACCAGGCCAACACTGCCGGGCCTGTGTCTCCCCAGCCCTCCGACAGCTGTGCCAAGTGCCTGTGGTGACCAGAGACTGGGTGCTGGACAGTGTGGCCCTCTACAAGCGCCAGGAGCTGGGTGCCTACCTCATCCCGCAAGGCCCCCAGAAACCCCTCTGACTCCAGCTGGCCATGGGTCTGGGGTCACAGGACCCTGAGGATGCACTTCAGGAGCGGCCTTGGCCGGGCATGATGTCGCTACCACGTGCCTGTCACCCCAGATCACAGGGAGGCTGAGGCAGGAGGATTGCAAGTATCAGCCCGCCTGGGCAACTTTGTGAGACGCTCAAAAAATGAAAAGGAGCCGAGGATGAAGCGCAGTGTGAAGGTGCTGGGTTTGATCCCCGATGCTGAGCAAAGCAAGAGGAGAGGGCTGGGCTCTCCAGACGGGGAGCCCCTCTCCCAACCCCCTGCAGTCCTGGTTCCAGATGTCTGCTGCGCACCCTCCTGAGAAGAGCTTCAGGCCCCCTGAGGGTCCCTTAAAGACTTTCTGTCTGGGTTTGTCTCAGCCCTCTGTCCATCGGGCCACATGGGAGGAGCTGGGGTCCTGTGAGCGGCCTAGAACCGGGCAGTCCTCAGGCAGTGCTCAAAGGAAACAGCCACACACGGAGGTGAATGTGGGTCTCGGTTTCATTAGAGGAGACCTCCGGAAAGCTGTCAGATGTGCTGTGAGCCAGAGTTCTTTTCCCAAGAGCCAGTGTCCGAAGAGCCTCTGCTTCCCCATTAGAAATGAGTAAGCCTGTGTGTTCTCTCCCAGTGTAACCGGCCCTCTTAAACCTCAGCTCTGCCATGAGTGTCTCACGGTGTCCAGGGCAGATCCCACCAGGAGGGAGCTGTTGCTCTTTGAGGTAATTTCCTCCCGCTTACTCCCTGTTGCTGAACGTTACAGCTTCAGGAGTAATTTTGCTGGAGGAAGAAAAAGTAGTTTTCATAAAGCCCTCATCCAGAACCGTTTCCAGCTCTGGGAAGGACTGGGTCTTGCTGAGCCCTGGTGTGCAAGGGCAGGCTAGATCTGATTGTGCAAAATACGTCTGTAATGTGCTGTTAACACTGCAAATAAACTCGGTAGCAAACGCTTCCACCGAGAATGACTATTATGTTTTTGGTTTTTGAGATGGGGTCTTGCTATGTGGTTTATTCCGACTTTGTACTCAGGGTGACCCTCCTGCCTCAGCCTCCTGAGTGCTGGGATTACAGGCGTGCATCACAAGGCTGAGAATGACTGTTCTTGAGATACAGACCTGCAGAATTTCTGTCTTGTCTTTTCTTTTTATTTTTTGTCCCAGCAATGGAACTCAGGACCTTGCACTTGTGAGTGGTGCCACTGGGCTGTATCCCTGGCCCCTCAGTCTCTCCTCTGTGGCACTGGGGGTGGAACCCAGGACCTTTCTGCTGAGCTGCATTCCAGTGCCATGCCCCCCTTTAATTTTTAAGTTTTTAATTTTCGGATACCATCTACCTGTAGGGTGACAGAAGCAGTTTAAACACCTGTTGCATTTCTGTTTCTTCCATAGCAAAGTGTCACAGATGTGGCCACAGCAGTGTGGCTTCTCACTCCTCCCTTGGGCAGGCTGGTTGGTGCTCAGCAACAGCTCCATCTCTGGCACAGCTCCAGGAGGGCTCTTGGGTGGGTGTGTTTTATCCCAGCCCTAGGCAGCGTGCTTTTATCAGCCTGACCTTCAAGTTCCTCATGGGTAAGGGTTTCCACAGCTAAACCAGACCCACACTGTAGTCCCAGCACATGGGAGGCTGAGGCAGGTGGATCATTCACAAGTTCGAGCCCAGCCTAGGTGATGTAGCAAGACCCTGTCTCAAAATAAAGTGGGCTGTAAAGCCAGGGATTTAGCTCAGTGGCTCCACTGCCTACCTCACAACCACAGAGTCCCAAGTTCGATCCCGGGTACCAAAATAAATAAAATGGGCTGTGGATATAGTTCAGTGTGAACTGGGCTTGATTTTTTAAAATAGTATAAAAGGGGTCAGGGATTTGGCTCAGTGGTTTTGCTGCCTGCCTTTCGAGCACAAGGGCCTGAGTTCGATCTCCAGTACCACAAAAAAACTATAAATAATAAAAGTTTTCTGTCTATGGGAGTGGTGGGACATTCCTGTAACTGCAGGTTCCCCAAAGGCTGAAGCAGGAGGATCCAGGCCGGCCTGGGCGACTGAACCTCGTCTCTAAATGAAAAGTGCAGGGCGGACCTTAACCGGACATCTGGCCAACTGTGTCAGGCCCAGGCTTCAGTCACCAGTTCTGCCGTGAAACAGGCCCCGTGCGACTGCGACTCCCTCAGGGTCTCCAATTGGAGCCCTGCACCTTCCCCAGGTCACTGGTCCCGAGTACCTGTGAGCGGTGGCTGCCCCGGGAAGGTGCCCTTCACCCCGGGCTCCAGCTGAGACTCCGGCTCCCCCACTTCCCAGTTCCCAAAATGAACCCCGTGATGGGGCGAGGCGTTGGTGGGGGTGGGGAGGCCACCCTGAGGGGGTGGAGAAGTCTGGGGCCGGGCTGCCACCTTGGCCTTGCCTGTGACACCCGCCTGACGCCTCTGCCTTGTGCTTGGTGTGCGCAGTCCTGCGACGGCCCAGAAATCTGCCTGGAACTAGGAGGATATTAAAGAATCTGGAGGCCGGGCAGTTTAGCTCAGTGTTGCCGCCACCTGCCTCACAAGTATTCCTGAGTTCGATCCCTGGTACCACTAATAATAATATCTGGTCAAGTAGAAGATTAAGGAGAGCTGGAAACAGCCAGCTCAGGCAGGGACTTGGGGGATCAGGAAAACCTCAGTAGTGGTTGGAGGGGCTGGAAGGAATGGAGGTTGGAGCAATGCAGACACAGCGGCTTGGAGAGTGGAAACTGCTTTTGGGGGTTTTGTTTTGAGACAAGGTCTCGTGGAGCCAAGGCTGGCCTTGAACTCCCAGGGATCCTCCTGCCTCAGCCTCCTGAGTGCTGGGGTCACAGGTATGCACCACCACACTCAGCTTTGGAATGGGAATTTTGACCTCATTTCCAGTTTAGTGCAGTGTTTCCCAAAACGGCCAGGAAGGAGGCCCCGGGGTGGGAGTTTGCAGGATCATCCGGGAACTTGGGGATCCAAGACCCCAGGCCTGGCTAGAGCCACTTAGACACTCTGGGGGGAACCCTTGATGCTCCCAAGGCTCCAGTCTGGGAACCCAGGGCGCACAGCGTCCCTGAGGTACCTGAGCTCGGCCTAGGCTGGGCTGCTCTTCAGGTTGCACCAGCTGCCTGTGCTCACTCCTTTCAGCCCTTTAAGCAAACACAAAGCAAAGGACAAAGATTAAATTATATGAGCACCCTAGGAGCAGAAGGGCCTGGCTGCTTAAGGAAAAGCCAGCTCTTGGTTTAGGAGGTTTTATTAATATTTAAATTGCAGTGAAACCCCAGCTGCCACCTTCCGACTTCAGCACAGCAATATGCAAATGGGCCTTTCAGAAGCAAGGCAATTGCAGACAGCCCTCATGGTAACAAGAACAAATAAAACAAATGATTTTGTCATTTATCTTTATTGACTGATGGTGCCCATGCTGTGGGAAGCCCAGGGGGTGAGTTGGGCGCAGTTGGGAGGAGAAACGGGAGCAGAGGTGACCCAGAGGGCGCAGACCAGGCGGGAGGCTGTGGGAGGGGAGCGTGAAGCCCAGCCCGTGGGACCCACCTGATGCTTTGGCTCCCAGGAGCGGTGACAATTATTACTATTAGTTGTGCAGAACTGCGGCTTAGACCCAGGGCCTTGGCACTGACTGCAGCCCTGGCCTTTTGTTTACTATTTTGGACCCGGGGATCGAATTCAGGACCTTGCACTGGCCAGGCAGATGGTGGAACCACTGAGCTAAATCCCCAGCCCTGGCCTTTGGTTTTGTTTTGTTTCGTTTTCGGACAAGCTCTCCTAGGCTGGCCTGGAACTCACAGCGATCCTCCAGCCTCAGCCTCCCTAGTGCTGGGATGATGCATGCACCTCCACACCCACCTCTTTCTGAGCCACATGGCTGCCCAGGCTGGGCTCAGCCTGAGGTCGCCCTGGCTGCTGGTGAAAATCACCAGCCCTGCTCTTCACTTCCACACACAGATGAGGAAGGTGGAGCCTGTGTGGGTCCCAAGGCCACATGGAGAAGGGGCCAGGCCCAGATTCAGCTGTGGGAGATGAAGCCCTCGCCCTGCAGGCCCTGGCTGGGAACCGCGCTGGGGAGAAGCTAGGCCAGGAGGTTAATGGTGAAGGTGCGGGGGGAGCAGGCATCTGTGTGTGCGCCTGCGCTGGAGGGGAACTGTGGCCCCTTTCTGGCATCTGAGGTCCCCTGTGGTGGGGCACAGAGCACACCTGAAGGCCCAGCCCTGGGGTGGCCGAGGTTAGAATGGGGCTGAGTTCAAGGCCAGCCCAGATTCCATAGCAAGACTAAAATAAAACGCTTACCATGTAGTGGGTGAAGCAAGAGAGGCCCGGGGTGCGGGGAGAAAGAGAGGCCCGGAAGGCTCCTGTGCGATTGATTCTGGTTTCTGAGGCCTATTGGGGTGACCGCAAGGCCCTGGGTTCAAGCCCAGCACTGACTGCCAGAGATAAGCTCTGTGGAGTACCGCCATGCCCATTGCAGGGCGATGCCAGGAGACGGCTCCTCAGCTGGCCTTCAGGCTGGCGAAGGGATGTGCCAGGTGGGAAGATGGAGGACACAGCACACGGAAGGCCTCACGTACCCTTCCCCAGCCTTTCCCTACCCGTCTCCCGCACAGGCACTAATAGGGCTGGACCTGCATCTCTGCAGCCCCACAACTGCCCGCACCCTCTTCCAGAGCCAGACTCCCCATGTAGAATGCCCAAGCTGGGCATGGTGCCTGCCTGTCATCCCAGCACTGGGGAGGCTGAGGCAGGAGGACTTCCCAGAGTTTGAGACCAGCCTGGGCTGCATAGTGAGTTCAAGGCCAGCCTGAACTACCTAGCGAGACCCTGTCTTTAAAGATTTTTTTTTTAAATATAAAAAGGGCTGGGAATGTGCAAGGGCCCTGGATTCAGTTCCACACACAAATATTTTGCCTTATTTAGGATACTTTTAATTGATACGTTATTTGTATGCATATTCTGTCTTCTCTGTTTGACTAGAAAGTCCTTATAATCCTGTAGGTGAGTTAGTGCCATTTTGTCTTTACTAGAAATCAGGATGTTTTTCTCCTCCAACAGTAGGGATTGGACTCAAGGGGTTTTTATTCTAGTAGCAGCTGTGAGATCAGAGGTTTGTGCCCCCACACCTGGCTGTCACCCAGCTTTGCTCCTGGCACTGACCTTGTTCGG